TCTCTCTCTCTCTCTCTCTCTCTCTCTCTCTCTCATTATTTGGGGCGATAACAAGTTCGCGTGCCACTACCCAAACAGATTCCCCCACGCCTTAAACCATTCCAAATGCTCATCTTTAATTTCTTTCCACACCAGATCCTAGGTCTCTCTCTCCAATATCTTTAGTCTAAACTAAGACTGAGACTGAGAGAGAGGAGGTCAAAAGCAATTAATGAATTTCTACGCCTGCTCTCTCTTCTCTACTTTGCCTGCCTGCCTTTCCCTAGTTTCAGCTTATTTTCTCTTTTGTTTATTTGTTTGTGTTTTCTATTTCAGCTTATGCATATCATATCATATGCATAGTTGAAACAGCAATATTATTATTTTATTATTATTATTATTATTGGTGAAGGAAGAAATATGAATTCCAAGGTCAGAAGTCAGCTGAATGCTGGTCTTATGGTCCTTTTGTTTTTGAGACTAGTCTTGATTAAAGAGGTAGACAAAGAGACATCCATGGTCTACTCATAAGTGAGAGAGAGAGAGAGAGAGAGAGAGAGAGAGAGAGATTTCTTTCAGCCTAAGCGGGGGGCCAATGCCATGTTGCATTCGCCTTTTTATATTCATCTCGAAAGCAAACATACTTTCTTAACAGTTTTCTTTTTCTTTCTTCAAACAGAATATTTGAAATCACTTTTCTTCTCTCCTCTCCCTCTCTCTCTCTCTCTCTCTCTCTCCCTCTCTCTTTCTCTCTCTCTCTCTCTCTCTCTCTCTCTCTCTTTTTGTTGTTAATTTCTTGCCTCCCACACTACACGCCACTTCCTTTTCTTTTCTTTTCTTTTCTTTACGCTTTGTGTATAGTTGTTTCAGCAGCTGGCCTGTTGCCTAGAGAGCTAGAACGAAATATGCTTTTGCAAATATCAGGGGGGGATATCATTTATGTTTCAATCATGCATGGCATTCATTCGGCCAAAGTCTCCACATGCAAGCGAAGCTCCTACGACCTCCAAACTATTTTACGGGTTACCCAACATGAAACGGGTCGGCGGTGGGGACAAGGACAAAAGCTCTTCACTAACGTCATTGTACAAAATATGGAAACCACTAGGCTCTGCAAATTCTCAGAACCCCTCACAACTTTAAGAACAAGAGAGCCTTTTTCTCTGTTCAAAAGTGTGTAAAAGACTACAAGTTCCTGTCCGTCAAATAAATAAATAAAAATTGTGTCTAAATTATTCCAATGAGACGTTAAATCTACTTAATTAACAAATTGCTACTGGCTGGTTCTTTCCAATGACAATATTGTCTTTACTTTGGGACCTTAATTAGGTGAAATCAGAACTTGTGCAAATATTTGATAAAATTTTAATCTTTTGAGAGTAGCTAATAAAGACACTATATTTATTTTTCATTAAGAAACCTCCTCATGAGGATACAAATCAAATTTTGATGCAGGCAGCCATTCCCAGTCATTGGAGCACTTTACCTCTTCTATCAAGGAAAGACTTGATGCAGCCAACCAGCCAGCCATGCTTGCTTCTTATTTCCCTCGGAGTTTACAGTAAGCGTATAAACAGGACCCAAGAAAACCAAGAGATTGGCCAGCAACATTCAACTTGAGGTAAAGCAGGGCAGTAGTTCACGTGAAAAGCAAGCAAAATATTGACTGTCAGTAATGAGCATTGCTGGAATTTCAGGCTAATGGGAGTTTATGCTTACCAAATCAAACGGGAGCCCACCAAACAGTAACCAGCCAAGTCCAACTGTAAAAAGATCCTAAAATAGCATGTACAGGGATGAGCTGCGATTGATGAGAGACAATAGTAGCATGCATATGATAAAACTATCACAAAACTAGA